CTAGATTTATTATCTATTATTGTTATTTTCTTATTTAGGTAGTTGTTATTTCCTTATTTAGGTAGCAGCAATTATAAGAAATTATTTCTCTGTTTACTAACAAATTAGTGTACACAGCTTATGTATTTTATTTATACCTCACAATGTAAGAGTTCCAGTCACGATGAAATATACAACATATTTCTTCTATAGTTCTATTCAGAACCATACTTCTATCCAAATTGTTAATGTTGAGAACTGTCTTAATAAGTTCTCTTATAATTTTTCTAGGTCTTCCTGCCTTTAGCTATTTAACTCCTCTCGATCTGATTTACTCTCATTACCACAAAATTTATAGGTCTTATCTCTACATGTCCAAACCACTTAAGTCTATTTTCCACCATCTTTTTTACAAGAATGCATTGTCCTTCACTAAACTTTGCTTCAGGGCAAGAGACCCATAGTTTATGGAAAGGGCAGAAGAGAGGAAGAAATTGACAAATCTGATCTCTTTAGGGCAGTGCTTTTTTTAGATTCTTAAAAGTTATTAATCTATTATGTGTTTTGTTAAAATTGACTGCATTGTCTAATGATGCTGACAGTGTTTTGTTTTCTATTCTAGAAAGGAAATGAGTGCATATTATTTGGAGCATGCTAGTGCTGATCATCTACAAAAACATTTTGATTTCTTTGAGGAGGAATCTAGTCGTTTACTTTCTTCAGGCCTTGCAACCGCTGCGAATGTTTATGCCATTTTAGATATTATCATCATATTTCTTAGCATCAGTCTTTTTAATGTACTTTTTCTTGGTCCACTGTCTTTATTTCTGACATATGTTTTGTGACTACATGCTAGGTATGACCAGCTTCAGAAAACGTCACATACTTTTAATATTTTAAACTCCAGAGGCTTAATTGGAGTGACAGAGTGTGCTCGTGCTCGTTATTTTGGTCGCAGGTGTAGGTATTGATTGAATATTACTGTAATCCCTTGCAATAATCATTTGCAAGTCTTATTATATCTTACAATTGAGTAAGACATGGACTAATACAAAGTAGTTTGCAATGAAGGCAGTTGCCCACCCCAAAATTGCAATTACAATCCCTTAATCACTGCATTCGTTGCGACGTGTCTTGATTTTTCAGCATTTCATGATGTTTTTCATTCATCTTTTTTTTCCTCAGTTTAGCTCGCTAGTGTGCCCAACTTTGGTTGAAGACCAGGGAGATGCATGACTACCCCCTTGATTTCATCTCCGAACCTGATCAGTCTGTAATGCCAAAGGATGTTTTGGAGGCCGCATGTGAAAAGGTTAGTTTGCATATATGGGTCACTTAGTCACCTTATCTTGCATTAAACTTTGATGTTGCTAATGTTTTGGAAATGATATTGATGCTTTTCTTAAACAATTTTATCTTTATTCATTCAATAATCTTCCATATTTTTGGTTAAGTGTCAGCAAAAAATATAAAGATGCTCGGCCTTTCACCTTACAGTTTAAGTTTATACGGAAGTTGGTACTAATCGTTGGAATTTTATTCGGGTCTTTATGACAATTTGGTTTGAAGTTCACTCCTTGCATGCACTCTTAATCAAATTTTTGCACACCCCCTTCAAGTTAGTGCATAGATATTTATCATGCCCATTGTCTATCAACAGCTCAAAGGTAGGTCTTGCCAAACTTTTGGTTAGGATATCTGCCGTTTACTGACTAGAAGTCATGAAAGGTAGACATAATATGTTTTCAGCATCTAACTTCTCCTTAATGAAGTGTCGATTAATCTCAATATGCTTGGTTATGTCATGTTGAATTGGATTATGAGCTATGCTAATAGCAGCTTTACTGTCAGAGTACAATTTCAATGGAAGTTCAATTTTCATCTTAAGTCCCTCTAGGACTTTGAGCGTCCATAATCTTTTACAAATACCTTGAGACCTAGATATAAACTTGGATTCTACACTACTCCTTGCTACAACGCCTTGCTTCTTTCTCCTCTATGTCACAAGATTACCTCAAACATAGGTTACAATATCCAAAGGTTGATCTTCTATCTGTGGCTGAACCTGCCCAATCAGCATCGGTGAAGATAATTACATTCCTTTCACTAGTCTTAAAAAATAATTCGTTTACAGGATTTCCTTTCAGATATCTCAGTATCCTATAGACTGCCTCAAGGTATTCCTCGAAAGGAGAATGCATAAACTGACTCACTACACTGACTGAGAAAGCAATATCGGGTCGGGTGTGTGACAAATAAATTAGTTTTCCAGCCAATCTCTGATATCTTCTAGTACCAACAATAACATTACCTTCTTCCAAAAATTTAGCATTAGGATCCATAGGGGTATCTCAGGACGACATCCACTCATGCCTGTTTCTTTCAAGTCAAAAATGTATTTCTACCGTGAAACCACAATAACATTTTTTGGCCAATCAACCTCCGTGCCTAGAAAATATCTCATGAATCCCAAGTTCTTGATTTCAAAGTCTACTACCAATTTCTCTTTCACCCTTGAAATTTTCATTGTATCGTCTCCAATAAGGACAATGTCATCAACATAAACAATCTAGACAACAACTTTTTTATTGTTGGATAATTTTGTGAACAAGGTGTGTTCAGTTTTGATATTGAAAGCAATATTTCCAAATTTGAACAAGCTACAATTAAGATCAAGAAGTGTATTGTTTAGAAAACATAATTTTCTTTTAATTAAAAAATCTGTTGGCAATTGAGTATGTTGTGTTCAGTCTTGATATTGAGAGCAATATTTCCAAATTTGAACAAGCTACAATTAAGATCAAGAAGTGTATTGTTTAGAAAACATAATTTTGTTTTAATTAAAAAATCTGTTGGCAATTGTGTATGTTGTGATTCTGGGTCTTAATTTCCCAGATCCTGTTAGCCATAGATCGAGTATGCCCCAATCGAGTATGCCACAAAACATATTTATTACTTGCTATAGATGATGAGCTATTTGAATGTGATGAAGATAACTCAATGCTGTAAGTAGTAGAATTAAGAGAAGGAGAACGGGAAAGACTGCTCACAGTGTTATTATTATATGTATTAGGATTACAAAGAGTAATACAGTGGGAGATACAATTTGGCAAACTATTGGAAAAATTACTATTGTGTGTTACAGAAGAACTAGGGAAACTACAACTACAATTATTGTTGGAGACAGATTGAGCAGAATAGTAATTAAGGCTTGTAGAGGACTTGGCCAGTTGAGTGGCAGGATTTGTAAACTTGTAGAGGCCATCACTTCCAACAAACCCACGAAGTAACACTTCAGAAGAACCTTGAGATTTGACAACACAAAATTTAGGATGAAATTCAAAGAAAACATTGTTGTCTTGAGCAAATTTGCTCACACTCATCAAGTTTTTGGTGATGTGTGGAACAAGTAAGAGATTTCTAAGAGTAAGGGATAGGTTAGGATTGTTTGGTAAGGAAAAGGACATAGAACCAATAGAATTGATAGACAAACCTTGGCCATTTCCCATGATGAGACGCACCTGAGTCAGGATACCACCATTGATTGTTGAAATTAGCTTCAGAACCTGCATAGAAGGCTTGTGGTGCTGAAGATCTAGGAGGTGCAGCTCTTGGAGCAGGATAATCAAAAGGAGAGGGATACACAGGATGTGGTGGCATGAGGAAAGGATTGTACTGAGCCCTCTGACGTGTGTACGCAACACCACTGGAGTTGGAGTAACAGTAGTAACAGATAGAAGCATCATGTCCAGATTTGTGACAAATCTGAAATTGCATTTTGCCAGAGTGTCCTCCTCCACGGCCATAACGGCCACCTCCACGACCAGAACGAACTCCTCGTGAGCCATAACCCTCAGCATTAGCAGTAACGTGACTCGTACCAGGAGGAAAAACGTCCGTGGCGGTGGGATCAGTGGGAATTGGCGTAGACGGTGGCGCTGCCTGAGTAAGATTCACCGTCGCAGGCTTCGTAGTAACGGCTTTGCGATGCTTCTCCAGACGCGACTCATGAGCCAGCAGCGACGACTCCAACTCCTCTAACGAGCTTAATTCTTCTTTACTGTTAACAGCGGCAACGATGGAGTTGTACTCCTCCGGGAGAGAATCAAGAACAATCTCAATTAGGTTGCGAAGAGGAACTGGATCCCCAATCGAAGTTAGTGATTCACTGATTTCACGCGCACGAGCCATAAGTTCCTCAATCGTGAGTGTTCCTTTCATGAGACGACATAAATCCGATCGCAGCTGTCGCACTTTGGTAGAGTGAAGCGTGTTGAAGTACCGATGAATCTCCGTCCAAACTTGCCAAGAATGCTTGCAATCCACAAGCTTCGGTGGAAGTGAATCGGAGATGGTGGATAGCAGCTAGGTACAGATGAGTGCGTCCTGTTGTTCCCATTCCAAGTACGCTGAATTCGCACCGTGAAGTGCTGAATCGGAATTGGACGGTGACCGCTGTGGAATAACCAGAACTGTAACAAACCGTTGCAGGCGATGACTGCGAACAACGCTATCGATCTGTTGCTTCCACTGCTTGAAGTTCTTGTCATCAAGCTTCATAGAAATTAAATGAGATAGCTTCACTTGCGAAGACGGAAACAAAGACTCCATGGATCGAAAAAAAATCAACTCTGGATACCATAATAGATGGCTAAAATTTTGAGTAAGTCCTTAAAATCTACTTTTGGTGTTAATTTATGTAATCGAGTTGCCTTGTGAACTTAACGAGTCGAACTATATATAATTCAAGTTCAGTTCATTTAGTTAACGAATTTGGTTTTTTTCCCCTCATATTTAACTCATTTGGTTCATAAACCAAGTTCAACGATCTAATTGTTGAATCGAATTTCAAATTATATTCTAATTGTTCGATTACTGAAATGCAATTTATAACTGTTTTTGTAACTGTGCTTACTGAAATACAATTTAAAGTTTTTAAATTTTGTGCTGGTAACGTTGTCATCTACATATCGACATGTTAATTAAAAATGTATATAGGTTCTTGGTGCCTGGGGTTTAGGATGGGAAATCTGGATGGATGGAATGGAGATTACTCTGTTCACCTACTTTCAGCAGGTATGTTTTGTTGCTCAGAATAAATATCAGTACTTACACACAAGGACTTAAATTTACCAGAGAGAAGAAACAATTAAAAGTGGCGGAGTTCAATGCTCCCTGCTTAACAATGGCGGAGATTTTTTCTGAGAGAAGAGAACACAATCTTTTGGTCATCATGTTTTCGTTACATGTTACCTTTTTTGGGCAGTTCAATTCCATTTTCACTTATTGAAAATAGAAAAGAAACCATTTTGTATATTTTAAATGTGCTTTCCTTACAGGCTGGAAGTCTCCAGTTATCATTAGTATTGGTAGAAATAACTTATGGCCTGGAGCGTATCCTCATGTTACTGCAGGTCAGTTGACTGATTTTCTTTTTGAGTATACATCAAGTTGGTCGTTCAAAGTTCCTAAAGGTCTACCTATTCATCCTTATGAAGGACTAATGCATTGATATATAAAATTAACAGATTGGGTGACCAGTGAAATTTTTGAGGGAGACTACTTCGATGACAATTTGGAGGTTTGATATAATCTGAATATTTTTTTCATCTAGAGAAAAGATATATTCTTAAACTTGATTGAATATTACTGTTATCCCTTGCAATAGTCATTTGCAAGTCTTATTATGTGTTACTATTGAGTAAGACATGGACTAATACGAAGTAGTTTTCAACGAAGGCAGCTGCCCACCCCAAAATTGCAATTACAATCCCTTAATACTGCATTCGTTGCGATGTGTCATGATTTTTCAGCATTTCATGATATTTTTCCTTCATCTTCGTTTTCCCAGTTTAGCTCGCTAGTGTGCCCAACTTTGGTTGAAGACTAGGGAGATGCATGACTGCCTCCATGGTTTCATCTCCGAACCTGATCAGTCTGTAATGCCAAAGGATGTTTTGGAGGCCACATGTGAAAAGGTTAGTTTGCATATATGGGTCACTTAGTCACCTTATCTTGCATTAAACTTTGACGCTGCTAATGTTTTGGAAATGATATTGAAGCTTTTCTTAAACAATTTTATCTCAATTTTATCTTGATTCATTCAATAATCTTGAATATTTTTGGTTAAGTGTCAGCAAAAAATATAAAGATGTTCGACCCTTCACCTTACCGTTTAAGTTTATACGGAAGTTGGTAGTGTTCGGTGGAATTTTATTCGGGTCTTTATGACAATTTGGTTTGAAGTTCACTACTTGCATGCACTCTTAATCAAATTTTTGCACACCCCCTTCAAGTTGGTGCATAGATATTTATCATGCCCATTGTCTATCAACTGCTCAAAGGTAGGTCTTGCCAAACTTTTGGTTAGGATATCTGCAGTTTACTGACTAGAAGTCATGAAAGCTAGACATAATATGTTTTCAGCATCTAACTTCTTAATGAAGTGTCGATTAATCTCAATATGCTTGGTTCTGTCATGTTGAATTGGAACAATCTATGCGATTTTACATAAAAACTTTGGGATTTTAATCCTCGTCATGAATCAATACTATATACATATTATTGGAAGAAATAGGTAAAAACTGTCGTAATTTTATTCATCAGGCAAAGACTAATTTATATAATGAAAATCCAACAAATACAATTGATTCTCTCCTTAATGGAAAATAAAATAAAATAAATGACAATAAACGGAAACAATTAAATAGGGAAATAAAATATTTTCCCACACCCCTTTCAAGTTGGTGCATAGATATTTATCATGCGCCATTGTCTATCAACTGCTCAAAGGTAGGTCTTGCTAAACTTGTTGTTTGGATATCAGCAGTTTACTGACTAGAAGTCATGAAAGGTAGACATATGTTTTCAACATCTAACTTCTGCTTAATGAATTGGATTATTAGCTATGTTAATAGCAACTTTACTGTCAGAGTACAATTTCAACGGAAGTTCAATTTTCATCTTAAGTTCCTCTATGACTATGAGGATCTAGAATCCTTCACAAATACTTTAAGACATAACTATAAACTCGGCTTCTGCACTACTCCTTGCTACAACGCCTTGCTTCTTTCTCCTCTATGGCACAAGATTACCCCAAACATAGGTACAATATCCAAAAGTTGATCTTCTATCTGTGGCTGAACTTGCCCAATCAGCATCGGTGAAGATAAATACATTCCTTTCACTAGTCTTAAAAAATAATTCTTTTACAGGATTTCCTTTCAGATATCTCAATATCCTATAGACTGCCTCAAGATGTTCCTCGAAAGGAAAATGCATAAACTGACTCACTACACTGACTGAGAAAGCAATATCGGGTCAGGTGTGTGACAAATAAATAAGTTTTCCAACCAATCTCTGATATCTTCCAGTACCAACAATAACATTACCTTCTTCCAAAGGTTTAGCATTAGGATCCATATTGGTATCTTAGGATGACAACCACTCATGCTTGTTTCTTTCAAGTCAAAAATGTATTTCTACCATAAAACCATTCTTTGGCCAAGCAACCTCCGTGCCTAGAAAATATCTCATGAATCCCAAGTCCTTGATTTCAAAGTCTACTACCAATTTCTCTTTCACCCTTGAAATTTCCATTGTATCATCTCCAATAAGGACAATATCATCAACATAAACAATCTAGACAATAACTTTTCTATCGTTAGATAATTTTGTGAACAGGGTGTGATCAGCCTTGATATTGAAAGCAATATTTCCAAATTTGAACAAGCTACAATTAAGATTAAGAAGTGTATTGTTTAGAAAACATAATTTTGTTTTAATTAAAAAAATCTGTTGGCAATTGTGTATGTTGTGATTCTGGGTCTTAATTTCCCAGATCCTGTTAGCCATAGATCCTGTCCTTGGAAATACCCTTGATTCTTCTTGGACTGAGTGATTTTTTCAAACCAATCTCTGGGAGACTTCTTTAATCCATACAAAGACTTATTTATTTTGTATACATTTGATCTAAATTTGTTTTCCAAACCAGGAAGAATGTCCATATATACTTCTTCATTTAGATCATCATTAAGAAAGATATTCTTAACATGTAACTGATGTAGGGGGCCAACTCAGGTCAGCAGCAAGAGATAAAAGAATTCTTATAGTGTTTATTTTTGCAACCCGACCAAATGTCTCTGAGTAGTCTATACCATATGTTTGTGTGAAGCTTTTAGCCACCAAGCGAGCCTTGTACCTTTCAATTGACCCATCTGAATTATACTTCACAGTAAACACCCATTTGCATCCAACTGTCTTCTTGCCATCTCGTAGCAACGTAACACTCCAAGTTTTGTTCTTTTTAAGAGCTTTCATCTCCTCAAGTTCAACTTCCCTTCACTTTGGAATTTTTACAGTAGTTTATACACTTTTTGGAATTTCTACACTAGACAATTTTATGGTGAAGTCAAACATAGATGAAGACAAATTTGAATATGAAATAAAATTGGACATGGGGTGTTTAATGCAAGATCTACCATGTTGTCTAATGGCAACATGATCATCTATATCAGGATACAAAATATGAGTCTCAAAAACAGAGATAGACTTACCTTTCCTTTTACTATAAGGTTGATCATCCTCCAGTTCAGATTTTTGACAGTGTTGAGATGTGGACTCGTTCCTTCCTTTATGGTGCTTTTTTGTAAAAACATTTTCTTTCCAAGTCCTGTTTCCTAATTCAAATATGTTTTCTTGAAGTGACTCGTTATTTCGTAGCATTTTAATTAGATCATCATTATCATGGTTTTCAGGATTCTCATTGTTTTCTATAAGAGAAAATATAGGCTCAGATTCATAAGACTCCTTACTGATAACAGGAGCATGATGAGATACATAATCATGGCCATTTTCTGTTGGTGCAGAGGTAAAAGTCTTAGAATTTTGTAGTACAGGCAAAGATAAAATTTTCAAAAACTCATGCCCTCAATTTGAAACGAGTCTTCCTTTATCTCCCCCCTTGAAGATGAGTGTCATCAAAGAAAGGTTTATTTTTAAAGAATGTAACATCCATGGTGACAAACATTTTATTGTTTTTTGGATAAAAACATTTATATCCTTTTTAGGTTGGGGAGTATCCAACAAAAACACATTTTATAACATGTAACTCATGTTTTCTAACATTTTTATGTTCATGAACAAAGGTTGTGCAACCAAAGATTTTTAAAGTCAAATCAGTTAAAACACGAGTATTAGGAAAACATTTTTTGTAGACATTAATTAGAATTTTAAAATAGAGAATATTTTAGGGCATTTTGTTAATTAAATATGCAGCTGTTAAAACAACTTCGTCCCACAAATAATTTGGTACTTTACTCGAAAAAAATAAACTGTAGCAACCTCCAATAAATTTCTATTTTTTCTTTCGGCCACTCCATTTTATTGAGGAGTATTAGGACAAGAACTTTGATGTATAATCCCATTTTTTTAGAAGAACCAATAACTAATAATGAGCAACCAACCATACCCAAAGAAATTGTCGTGATAGAAAAGTTATATGTACCCCCACCACCTTATAAGACACATGTACCGTACTCTCAAAGACTTGTTAAATCTAAAAATAAGGGTTAGTTTAAGAAGTTCGTTTAGCTTCTAAAAGAACTCGACATTACCATCCCTTTCACGGATGCGATTACACAAATTCCCTCACACACTAAGTTCCTCAAAGAGATCTTATCAAACAAGAGAAAACTTGAAGATGACGAGACAGTGACACTCACTGCAAATTTGTCATTGAAAGACCCGTGTGGTTTTTCCATTCCTTGTGTAATTGGAAAATTTGTCATCGACAAGACACTTTGTGATCTGGGAGCTTTCATTAGTTTAATGTCCATTCCAATTCGTGAAAGATTGAAATTAGGAGATCTAAATCCTTTAATGATGTCCCTCCAGCTAGCTAATCATTCCGTTAAGTACTCTGTAGGTATGTTGGAAAACATTTCTGTGTGGATTGGCCAATTTTATATTCCTACGGATTTCATAGTGACCAACATAAAGGAAGACTCCAACATCCCCATCATATTAGGAAGACCCTTTTTAACTGTTATCGGTGCGATCACTGATGTGAAACGAAGGAAATTAACTTTTGAATTTGGTAAGGGGAAATAGAGTTTTTTCTTTCCAATTTATGAAAACTCCAACTATAAATGATACATGTTGCTTTATAGACATTATTGATGAATGTTTGAAAGAGTTGTCAGTTGAAGTGCTCCCCGTTCAAGAGCCAGTTTCACCTTCGACATCGGACTTAGGAAAGACAGAGGTTGAACTATTAACAAATGAAGATGAAATTCTGGCACATAGTGGACAGATGTCACTCCTCCATTGACCAGGATCTTGTTGACCCTAACATTCTCTATCTTGCCTCTGATAAACAGAGGTTTGAGATGATTTATCATATTTACGTCGGGCCTTTTGAAAAAGGAATTTTGCTCTTCGACGCATTAATTATTTAATATGTAATAACACACTGGTCTATGGGAGTCCACCATTTCGACTTCGTTTTATGGTCTTCCAACTCTGTAATCCTGTCATACTCTATAGGTAAGACATAAAGTACACTGCAGACAATGTCAAACGACGACTCTAACCCATAGTTGAAGTTATCTGTGAGCATATCATCATCCACAACAACTTGGTATGATCTCTCTGCGCATCCTTCTCTTTATCAGGGAATAACCTCATTCCAACGGGATTTTTATCATCGTTCATGTCTTTCCCGATATGCATATTTCTGCTAGATTCTGCTTTCGATCTTTTTGTTGCCTCCCTTTCAGATTTGCACCTTATCTGTTGTCGTCTCCACTGGGATATTGACATAGGATTTTTACCTTTGCAATTCTCTAAGCACCATGCTAATTGTTTAAAGGCTTGAAACTCTCTTCGGTA